CAGCTACTGTTATCATTTTGCCCCAGAACAACAATGCTTTCAGGCACTGGACCCAGAGATGGCTCCAATGCCTGAAAATAAGGTACGATTTCAAGATTGGTGGAAGGAGCCTGGGGCTCAGATTTACGGAAGCAGGAAGACTCACAGTCTCAGATCCCCACCAATTTGGACAAAGCAATGGTAGTCGTTTGGGCAGGTGGGTCGGATTAGACTGAGTCCTCCCAACCTGAAACCCGGGATGTGTAGGTACCCGGGGACGTGATATCGGAGGTTCTCAAGCTATGCTGGGTCCTTCAGGGCTCAGGGAAACCAGGTAAATATTTAGGCCCGATGAGCATGATCAGGCTAACCAAATGCCAAGTTTCTCCACTTAGAAGGAATTATATTAACTCCATGTAAGAACACTATTTACTTAACACTGACTGGAGATTTAGATAGGCAGTTAGTTATCTTTACAGGGTAAAAATAAAAGTAAAACTAAGTCACCCTTTTACTTAAAAGTGCTGTTTTCCAAACAGACAATTTTTTCCAAAGCATGTGACCCATGGCTAAGAAGATAATAAAAAGGGCCATTGGTGAAACACTGAGATTCTCAATGCGCTAGAGGATTTCTAAAGTCCTTTTTTGGCTAGAACGCTCAGGGGATTACTGAAAGTTTCTCTGAGGCAATCAACTATAACAATGTATTTTACATGTAATTTTACTTTGTGGCATCAAGGGGAAAATGTCTTGCTCTAAAATTTCAAGGGAAAAAAAGCACAGAGGATCCAAAGGAGGATTCTAAACAGTAAAAGCATGGTAAAGGGGGAATTTTAAAAGCTAGAAATACCAGGACAGGAGACAAAAATACATTTAAGTTTTTAAACAACAACAAAAATGTCAAATGACCTGGAATAGAACTTGGGACTTGGCAATAATAACTGGCACTCCTGCAGACGTAAACGCGGGGTTACCACGTGCTCCAGACGACTAGGAAGGGGGCGGGAAGGATGCGCCGTCATCACCAGCCCCACAAATCGGAGGAGTCACTGACAGCCCAAGGTTCATTTGTGGTCAGGGTTTGGAAAGTCAGCCACAAGTTTCCTCTCCTTCTAGAAGCCACACACTTTGTCGGGTATTCAGGGCAACACGGAGCTGCCCACCATCAGCCAACACTGGGGTGCAAACCCGCCACAGCCCCCGGAGGCAGAGCAGTGGGAGCATGGGCCGGAACAGAGAGGCGAGCGGAGGAAGCCTTCCAAACACACAGGCTGTTGGTGGGAAGAGGAACAATAATGACAATCATGCACACAGAAAGCCCCTGAAAAACAAAGTGCTAAAGAAATGAATTACCTCAATTGGGCCTTACAACAAACTTGTATGTTAGATCTTATTGTTATCCCATTTTACAACCCTGTGGAAATAAACAAAGACCAACTACATGAGCACGAGAAAAGTTATTTATTCAAAGCTTGCTACAGCACGGAATGAGCCACCATCACTTGTGTCTGGAGGAGATTCAAAGGCAAGCAGAGAAACGGGAAACTTCATAATGGTAAAAAGGGGAGGCTTCAGGTGTGCCCTGCGTGGAGGCTGCTGCCATGGGGACACTGTAGGTGAGTTATCTGGGAGAGGACATCCTATGTGATTGGTTAGGAGGTATATATATATATGGCTTTCTCTGGTTGGTCTTTTAAGTTGGAACTGGGGACAAAACTCAGGGAAGCTGACAGGTAAGAATCAAGCCCTGTTCTTTTGGGGTCTATTGTTACAGGGGTTATTATTTGATTTCCTGAGTGAATACTGAAGACTTTCTGTAAGTCTCATTTAGGCAGGCTTCCTGCACTGGTTACTGTCCACGAACGGTTTGATTTCCTTGGACAAAATTCTATTTTACACATGGTCTGGCCATTGTCCATTTGTATTTTCAGTCTCTCAACCCTTAGGTATGAGTCTGTACAAAATAAAGTCGGTCCAAATAATTACCAACATTGACTCTCAGAGCCCTGGAGAGGGGCTGGGCCTCTGTACTTTACCCCCTGCATCCAAATGCCTAGAGACAAAGATACGCTCACCTGTGGCAAGCCAATCAGCGTAATAAAAAGCACCAATCATCTCTTTCAAACGTGAGATCATGACATTGTTTTCCTGCCTGCTGATTTGCTTTAACACTATGATTTATACGTTATAGAAAAATAATTTAATAAATAAATCAATGGTAGATCAAAATTTTCAAAAGAAACATCAAAGGAAAAGTCCTCAAATCCTTGCAAATACTTCTTGCTCTAAAATCCAAATATCTTCCATCCCATAAACACCTGGAGCTTACTGGCAGAACCAGAGCCTGAGTGGGGGGGCGGATCACGGGTCTGGGGGGATCATGGGTCTGGCTGGATTAGCAGGTTAGCAGGACCCTGTCTGGAGGAACCTCAGCTTGAGCTCCCACGCCCCCTTTCTGTCACCTGGTCAAGCACTCCTTAGGAGCTTAGACAAAAGTGCAAAGGTCAAGTGCAAAGGTCGAGTGCATGTGAGTGGGTAGAAAGTGATCTTGTTCAAGAGCAAATTGTCAAGTGTCCCTGACCCCAATGTTTCTATTAGGATAAGATGCTAAACGGCTATTGAATGAAGCAATACAGGCACCATTGCTGGATAATTTCAAAACACAAAAAAACAAAAAACTAATTCTGTCTCTTTTCTAATAGATACCCGATGGAAAGCATGATTGCAGTGTAGCTGAAGAACTCTGAGATCACATAAGTTCTTTGGACAAAATGCACTGGTCTTCCTTTCTCACTCCTACCGCCTACACCTGATACAATCCATTCAGGCCCGGAGACCCCCAACTCAAATGCCAGCTCTTCAGAAGAACCTTCCCTGATTGAATTGCCCTTGCATAGCTCACTTGCCCATTTTTCCCATGGGACTTTGTGAAGAGTGTTAATAAACCCCCACACTGTGGCATTACAGCTACTTTTTACACAATGTCAATTTTCCTCACTATACTATGAGTTTCTTTTAGACAAGTCTGTGTCTTATTCATCCCACTTTTCCTCACTGCCTGACATGTAGCAATGCACCTCATTACCTATGTGCTCATTTCATATTCCAAAAGCCCAGTGAGGGGGGTGTGATAATTACAGCCATATCGAGGTAACTGAGGCTCACAGAGATCAATTATCTGTCTAAGGACCTAAAGGGAAGCACTGACAGAACGGGAATCAGTCCCACTTCTTAGCACTTGCGAAGTTTTCAGGGCACCCTTTGCCTCCAATAAGCTCTAAATGCTGCTTCACCAAGGCAGTAAAGAAAATTTCAGTGTTCCAGATTAGTCTGTGTGTGAGCAGCTCATTTTGCGGTGCTAACAGACATGCTTGGAATTCATTAGCAGCAGCAGCCCCGATGCTCACTATCTTTGATCGTGTGCGGTTCTCTTGCTCTCTCTTTTCTTTCCTGTGAAGAATACACAGGTGCAGCTTTTGTCAAGTTTCTTCAACAATTATGTATTAATTTTAAATGCAGAAAAGAAGACTGGCATCTATGTGGCAGCAAAGAAAATCAGGATCACAAGCAAAAGTGAGAGTATAGGGTATAAATCTGTGCCTGCAGCCTCCTCAGAGCTCAAAGAGTAAGGAAATTCCATGTTTGTCATGGCTCCGAACATTCCACTTGGTGGTGGAGGGACTACTAATCGGTGCGGCCACTGAGGAAATCAGGATGGGATGCCTCACAAAGCTGACGACAGAACCACCGTATGACCCAGCAAATACACTTCTCGGTATTTATCCAAAAGAATGAAAACATTAGCTTGAAAAGATATATGCACACCTACATTCATTGCAACATTACTAGTAATAACCAAAATATGAAAGCAATCTAGATGTCCATCAATAGATAAATGGATAAAGATGATGTGGGGTATATATATATATACATATATATATACACACACACACACACACACACACATACACACACATATACAATGGAGTATTACTCAGCAATAAAAATAATGGAATCCTGTCATTTGCAACAACATGGGTGGATATTAATTGAAATAAGTCATACAGAGAAAGGCAAATACCACATGATTTCACTTCTACATGGAATTTTTCTCAAATATAAAAACAAACAGCAAAACAAAACAAAAACAGACTCATAGAAACAAAGAACAAACTGATGACTCCCAGAGTGGAGGGGCACAGGATGGGTAAAAAAGGGAATATAGCCCTTAATAGTGTGCTAACTTTGCATAGTGTATTTAATGGCAACTATATTTAGTATGGTGTTCACGTACCATAAAATATATAAATGTTGAATCACTATGTTGTACAGCTGAAACTCATATAATATGGTATGCCAACTACACTTTAATTTTTAAAAAGCAGCTCAAATAAAAAATAATCTTGCACTTATTAGGAAAAGTAAGTCCTGCTAGGAATATTTATTTCATCAGCCTTCACCTTGACCTGGCTGCAGTAAGCCCTTTGTTCTGACTGGACACCCTCAAAGCAACTTTGTAATCATTTGTCTTCCCAGATAAATGTTCCCTTGGGGAGAGGGGACACTGATCAAAAACCGCTGAGTATTTTTATTTGCAAGAAATGTACGGTCCTCATTATATATGAACAAATTCATATTCTGTTTTACATACCAAAGAAAAAATAAAATATGTAAAAGGCAGAGTATCTGCTCTTTCTGACAAGTTTGCCCCTTAGGGTTATGTCTTCCCGGCTGCTCGTCTTCTCATGGCCCCCATCTCCCCCACCCAACCACCTTCTGTCCCTGCACCTCTCTGCACTCTTTCTCTGTGCGGTCCCGGCACAGTATCATCAAGAAGTCCTCTAATACCATAACTGCAAATTCCACCAGGAAAAAGAAAAAAGAATTGCTTACAGGTAATATTTTCCATCACATTTAATGAGAACTGTTTCTACGTGGCTACAAGTCCTAGATTTGCAAAGTTCTTAGCAAACACAACAAATTGTGGTTTTTAATGGGATCACATGGTGCCAAATACTCACATTTTCTGACCGGAGCCTCTTGGCAGGACACCCACCATCCCTGGGGTGAAGCATGTAATACAGTCGGACTTTGCTTGCATGTTTTCGACTCTGGGAAGAAAAAGCAGAAGCAGATACTGTGAACGGGAAGGCATTTTAAGTCTTTGGAAACACAGCCAGTGACTGCAGCTGCCAAGAAGTACTTTTACTAGAAAATACCTCCGCATGCATTTCGTGGGATAAAGGCTCAGATGTTAAGTGACCTGCCCAAGGTCATAAAGCCAAAAAAATTTCAGGATTAGAAAACACACTTAATTAAGAAAGGTAAGAGCACTGGTGTCTCTTAGCTTGGAGTGAATTATTTTGAGGATAGTTTATCCTCAAAATAAATTTGTATTTATATAAATTATATTGAATATTGTATAAAACTATTGAATTATATTTAATTGTCCTCCAAAGTAAGACAGGTCAGCAGAGGGAATAATGGAAAGACCAACTCTGATGAAAAACCGGCTTTTTCTCTGGCTCCTGCTGCCCTGCCCTAAGGAGCGAGGAGCCACCCACCCCACCCCAGGCGCCAGGCACACGCATCGTCTCCAACAGAAGCTTTTCCCTCCAGTTCTCCTACTCTGGCCTCAGTAATTAAACTGCCAAAAGAGATTTCCAATGTCAGATATCATGAACAAACAAAGAACATTGTCAGTACATCTGAGGACCGGTCAGGGCCCAAGCTCCGTGTGTGTAGGCACAACCGAGGAACAAAGTCTCACCTCCCGCAGGGTTAGCGAGACGCTCAAGTTCTGCCTGCGCTGACTAGTCCGTGCCCAGAGTGGTTCCATGTTTCCTCTACTCCTTTAAACTGAGACTCCCCTCACCTTTAAAGAATACCAAGTTGCTACCTGAGGCAGGAGGGTGGAGTGAAAAGGGTAGCAATAAAACACAGTCAAGACAGACCACGTACACAATGGTGATCCCGTAAGATTATAATGTAGCTGAAAAATCCCTGTTGCTTAGTGACGTCGCAGCCATTGTCACGTCATAGCGCATCGCCTTACTCAGGTGTTTGTGTTGATTGTGGTGTAAACAGACCTACTATACTGCCAGTCGTGTGAAAGCATAGTACATACAGGTATGTACACTACATAATGCTGATAATAATAATAAACGACTATTAATTGGCTCATGTATTTGCTTACTATACTTCTTATTGTTATGTTGAAGTGTATTCTTTGTACATATAAAAAAAGTTTGCCCTGGCTGGCGTGGCTCAGTGGATTGAGCACCCGCCTGCAAACCAAAGGGTCGCCAGTTCATTACCCAGTCAGGGCGCATGCCTGGGTTGCAGGCCAGGTGCCCAGTAGGGGGCACACGATAAGCAACCACACATTGATGGTTCTCTCCCTAACTCTTTCCCTCCCTTCCTCTTGCTCTAAAAATAAATAAAATATTTTAAGAATTTTTAAAGAATTAAATATCTAAAAATAATAAAAATTAGTTATTAAAATAAAATAGTTAAAACTAATATTTGAAAATATTTAAAATAACTAATGTAATTTTTAAATTGTAAAAAAATTTTGCCGTAAAGAATAGGCTGTGTTATGCCTGCGATAGACTCATACACCTCATATTTAACTAGTCTCTTGATCGCCTCATTTTCTGTTGTGCCTCATTTAATCTTGTGTAGTTTTGTGCAGTAACATGCTGCACAGGCTTGTAGCCTGGGGGCAATAGGCTGTACTGTGTACTCTGGGTGTGTAGTGGACGATACCATCTAGGTTTGCGCAAGCGCACTCCATGATATTTGCGTAACAATGAAGCTGCCTATGACATTTCCCGCAACGTAGCCCCACTATCAAGCTGCACATGACTGTTGTCAGAAGTTCAAAACCCCACTTCTGTCTCTAGCACTTTCTAACTGTGGGACAGTGAACGAGTCACTTACTCTAATTTGTTTATAGCCCAAATGAGTCTCCTTGTCTCCACGTACACAATGAACATAACAATGTTTACTAGGGCTGCCATGAGACTCAAATAAGACAACACACATGAAAAATTGTAATTTACCTAATGCTAAATAAACATTTCTCAGTATTGGCTGCACCAAACCCTACCTTGGGTTCTACCACAGTCTGTATATGTAAATTTGCCTGGTATCCTCTTTTACCTAATTCCAATCCTCTGTCCCCTTGTTTTACTCAGAGATTATTTCTCCTTGTTCAGGCCTTGGTTCCACTTTGCCCTCATTAGCATTTGGGTTCTAGTCAATCTCATGGATGCTGGTTTGTCTTCATTGATTAGGCACACAGCAAATTGCATCTTGTTTACAGGATATATTGTAAATTCTTTCTCTCTGGTTTTCCTCATTTATCACTTTTTTAATGCCTTCTTTTGTGCCCAGATCAAGTACACTGTACTTCTAAAAAGTCCCTAAATAATTTTAAAGCTTTTAAATAGGTTTAAAAGTGCTATTGGAACATGAAAACTATTATAGACCTGTAAAAGTACTGAAGTGTGATTTTGTAATATATCTGTATCCATTTCTAGGAAGCAGAGAAACTTTAAGTTGGGGTTTATCTGGAGTCTTGTTTGCCTGCAAAGTCAGAAAAATGGAGCTCTGTGTGGACCTGTGTCATTTGACTTCAAATTTGACTGGTTGAAGTCAAATTTATTTTCTCTCAAATAAAATTATTCAGAGACTTTTTAGAAGTACAGTGTACTTGATCTGGGCACAAAAGAAGGCATTAAAAAAGTGATAAATGAGGAAAACCAGAGAGAAAGAATTTACAATATATCCTATAAACAAGATGCAATTTTCTGTGTGCCTAATCAATGAAGACAAACCAGAATCCATGAGATTGGCTAGAACCCAAATGCTAATGAGGGCAAAGTGGAACCAAGGCCTGAACAAGGAGAAATAATCTCTGAGTAAAACAAGGGGACAGAGGATTGGAATTAGGTAAAAGAGGATACCAGGCAAATTTACATATACAGACTGTGGTAGAACCCAAGGTAGGGTTTGGTGCAGCCAATACTGAGAAATGTTTATTTAGCATTAGGTAAATTACAATTTTTCATGTGTGTTGTCTTATTTGAGTCTCATGGCAACCCTAGTAAACATTGTTATGTTCATTGTGTACGTGGAGACAAGGAGACTCATTTGGGCTATAAATGTCCCCACATTTTGGGGACATTTGGGCCTCAAAATGTCCCCACATTTTGAGGACAATGTGGTGCAAACTAGTATTTGTCCTTTTTGCAGATAAATATGTTGACTACTAAAATCTGTACACATTTTCTACAGTTCTGTTTGCTCTTTGTAGGTATGGGGTAGTGATAATGTTGGGAATATACTGTTACAGTCAAAAACATATAACAGAACTTTAAAAAAAACTGCAGGCTCTGAATGTGGCCTCAGAGCCAGGGTTGGTGAAAAGCACAACAGACAAGTAACTGGTGAAAAGAGAAAGTGATAACAGCATGAACTCAGCTATGGCTGAAGTGGGTTTTCAATTTTTCATTTGTTGCCATAGAAAAACTTCTTTTCACAGTTCCTACACCATCAATCTATTCAAAGCCCTGGATTCCCAGAGAAAAAAAATCGTAGCAAAATTGGATATCTCATAATGTGGCCTGTTTTGTGGTTATTTTTTTCCTCTTTCCTAAAATATTACTTTTCTTTCATAAAGACTCCAGCAAAGGCAGTGTTCACTGGATCGTTTAATTGCAGGTTGATAAAACTAGTAAGAACTTGTTAACGGAAAAGACATAGAAATAAATGATAAACTCTGCTGTGAAGCCATGCTGTGAGGAGAGACATTGGAGTTTAAGGAATATTACCAAGTTTTGTTCTTTAAAGGCTGGTTTTACACCTTCAGCTCCCCCCTCCCCAGTGTGGTGAAAGGAGAACCAACTCCCCTACAGGCACCGCCTCTGCCCTTGTGTGTGGGTAAAAGAGAAAGAGAGCCTTGGCCAACAGCACCAGATTTCAGAACACTGGTGGAGGTGGTCTTGCTCATCACTTACTGTGTCCCTTTCGTCTGGTCAGCTCTTTTCCCTCCTGCAGCTTTCTCCAGGCTGCCTGGGCCATATCCAGTGCCTTCCCACCCACGAGCCATCCTACACTTTGGGCTGGAAGTCCAAACCCCTAAGGTAGTAACCATGGAGGCCCCCTCGCAGCTAGTCCGATTCACACTCAGAGCCACTTCCGAAGAATGTTGGCTGATAAAGGGAGAGAGTTTCCCAGGGGTTTGTTTGGAGGAGCTCAGCACCTTGCCCAGCCTCAGCACTGCGGTGCGTTCAACACGATTCAACAGCAGGGCGCAGCTCTGCTAGTGAGCCCTCTCTCCTCTTCCTGGCACACTCCCCTCTTTCTCAGGCGAGGACTCTCCGAGTCACCTCCAGTGCCTACCTTCATGGGCTCCCTTAGACCCCTTAACTGCCCGCGTTGCTTGCCATGTGGCATAGTAATCTCACTTCCTTCGATTTATTCTGAAAATAAAACCTTCCCCACAGAATGTTAAAATGAAATTTGAGGGAAGATGTCCATTGCAGTTTTATCTAAAATGAAACAACAACGAAAATCATGAAACAGCTACATGTCCAACTAGTGGCAATGGAATGGCCTAATGTTCAGCTGAAAACTGAACATTAGAAATTCTTTCCAACTAACAAATGTTGAATGAACAATTCTAAACTCAAAAATCACTCTTATACTGGAATTGCAGTTACATAAACATTCATTAGGATGTCACGAAAGGTGGGAGAAGCACAATTTATCAGGGTACAGGAAATATCGGTAGTTCTCATTTTTATTTCTATAAGTTGGACTTTAATATAAAAATAGTAACTTCACAGTGCTCATCGTAACTCTCCATTCAGTATACCTTTCATTCACAATGATTTTAATTAGTAAAAAGTATCACTGATCTGGAATGCTTTGGGCGTGTATTGGTATAACTGACTGCATTTCCATCTACCCTTATAAATGTCTTATCAACATTCAAAACACATTTTTGTATTCCAGTACTTGGGGATTACATCAGTGTGCTTAACCCAAGTACAATATATGTTACTTCAAATTTTAAAACTCCATTTTGGGAGACACAAATATG